ACAGTCCACCCTGTGCCCACTCTGCCTGTGTCTCCCTGTAGGACCCAGGGAACTGGAAGCCAGCAAAGTTGTCCTCCTCCCCAGTTGTCCTGGAGCTCCAGGAAGTCGTGGGGAGAAGGGGGCCCCAGGTCCTGAAGGTGAGAGAGGTGGGGAGTGGGCTGGGAGCGGGAAAGGCAGGAATGCAGCAACTTCTGTCTGTGCTGAGGGACCGCCACAAAGGGGCAAGGAACCTACTCTGTGCCAGCTCCAGGCTGGGCACCCCGCATCCTAAGATCAACTCTCCCAGGTAGGTGGTTTCATCCTCATTCTGCTGAGGAGGAAATGGAGGTTCAGAGAGGATAAAATATTTGCCCACCGTCACAGAGTGAGTGAAGGGTGACACTGGCATTTGACCTCTGGCTCCAAGTCTCCTGTTTCTTTTTGGTCTTGGGCATGGGGTGGGACTCAGGGCATCTGTGCCTCTGAGATTTCAGGACAACCTGGACCACCTGGCAAGATGGGCCCCAAGGGTGAGCCAGGTGAGTATGTGAGGCTGGAGGCCTCCCCCCTTTCTTTGCTTCTGTTTCTGGACTCTAGAGTGGGGTCTCTGCTTGGCTGCTGTGCCTATCATGGCCTTCTTACAGGGGGAGGGAAGGCTGGGAGGAGTGGGAAGAATTGGGTACCCTGTGGTACCCTATGATGGCCCTCCCATGGGGGACGAAGGCTGGGAGGAGTGGGGAGGATTTGGAGAAGGGCCTGGGTACCCTTTCCACTGGTGGTTCATGGGCACGGCCATGGGGATGCTCAGAGCTCTCAGCCAACACTTGGTTCTTCTCTGGGGCAGGAGATTCAGCAAACCTACTCCGGTGCCAGGAAGGTGAGGCAGCCCTCGCAGGAGCCAGGGACTTGGGATCACGCCGTGTTGGGTGTTGGCAGACCCGCCAGTGTGGCCAAGCCCCTCCCCATAGCCTCCTTAGAACTGCTCTTGAGGGACCTGAAGAAGCCAAGAGGGCCCCTAGGGTCCCGCACTTGTTCCAGTGCCTGGTGGTGGGGGTCAGGGAATAACCTGGGTGCCCCCTCCCTCAGCCCATCTCCCCTTTGCCAGGCCCCAGAAACTGCCGGGAGCTGTTGAGCCAGGGCGCCACCTTGAGTGGCTGGTACCATCTGTGCCTACCTGGGGGCAGGGCCCTCCGAGTCTTTTGTGACATGGACACTGAGGGGGGCGGCTGGCTGGTGAGTGTCAGAGAATGGCCCAGTGTTCACTTCTCCCCGTTGGCCCCTAGGAAGCCCAAGCCCATCAGAGCAGGCATTTCCTAGAGGAATTCACTGACAAATGTTTAGTGAGCTTCCAATGGGTCCTGAAGAAGTATGAGGGTTTCAGAGAGGAGGTGCCATTTGAAAGGACCTTGAGTCGGGTGCAGTAGCTTACACCCATAATCCCAGCTACTCGGGAGGGTAAGGCAGGAGATTCGCTTGAACCTAGGAGGCAGAGGTTGCAATGAGTCGAGATCCAATCCCTCTTTGGCCCCAATTCAAAGAGAGAGAGGGTGTCCACCCACCCCTCACAGTTCCTGCACCCTCAGCTACCCGTGCCCAGCCTGGAGTAATAGCTGCTGTGCCCCCACTCCTCCCTAGGTGTTTCAGAGGCGCCGGGATGGTTCTGTGGATTTCTTCCGCTCTTGGTCCTCCTACAAAGCAGGTTTTGGGAACCAGGAGTCTGAATTCTGGCTGGGAAATGAGAATTTGCACCAGCTTACTCTCCAGGGTGAGTTCCCAGCAGAGTCTGGAAGTCTGGGGGTTACTGTCTGCCATCCTGAATCCCTGCCTCAATCCCCGGATCTGAGGTTCGCTCCATCCTTGCCTCCCCTCACTTCCAGGTACCTGGGAGCTGCGGGTAGAGCTGGAAGACTTTAATGGCAACCGTACTTTTGCCCAGTATGCAACCTTCCGCCTCCTCCGGGAGGTAGACCACTACCAGCTGGTGCTGGGCAAGTTTTCAGGGGGCACTGCAGGTGAGTGAGCCTAAGGAGAGCAGAGGAAGGAGGCTGGGTCCTTTCCCAGTGCTGCTACTGCCCCCCATGAAGCACCCAGGGCAATCCCTTCTCCTCTGTGGGCCTAGTTTCCTGCATCTGAGAAACGGCAATCATGAGAGGATGGTGCAATAGTGAAGAATTTGGGTTCTGAAGGCAAACAGACCTGCATTGAATCCATCTCTGCCACTTAGTACCTGTATGACCTTGGGCGAGTCTTATTCCCCACTAAGCTTCAGTTTCCTCCTCTATAAAATGGGCAGGGAGGCCGGGCACAGTGGCGTGCCTAGCACTTTGGGAGGATGAGGCAGGCAGATCACTTGGGGTCAGGAGTTCAAAACCAGCCTGCCCAACATGGTGAAAACCTATCTCTACTAAAAATACAAAAAAAATTAGCCAGAAGTGGTGTCGAGTGCCTAGAATCCCAGCTACTTGAGAGGCTGAGGCAAAAGAATCACTTAAACCCAGGAGGCGGAGGTTGCAGCAAGCTGAGATCACGCCACTGCACTCCAGCCTGGGCGTCAGAGCAAGACTGTCTAAAAAAAAAAAAAAAGGTGGGGGGCAGGGAGGCAAGGAGGAGGTTGTGGGTGCTGCCTGAGGCTCTGTTGAATGTTAGCATTCTCTGCTTTGGAAGAGGAACCAAGGAAATCTTCTTTCAGAGAAACAGTGACTGTTGGAGAGAGATTTAAAAGAGGGAAGTGGTTATGAGGGGGTGCCTCAGGGAACCCCCTTTCCTGCCCGGGCATCTAAGAGATTCCTCCCAGCTTTTCCTAGCAGAGTTGCTCAGGCTGGCTGGGAGCTGAGAGGAGACAAAGGAGCTAGAGGGAGGCTGAGGATTCTGGAAGGTGTAAGACAGTGAAAAGCTTCGAGCCTTGGAGCCAGACAGTCAGTCCCAACTTCAAGTCCTGCTGTTGCTTTGGAGGCCAAGGTGGGCGGATCACCTGAGGTCGGGAGTTCAAGACCAGCCTGACCAACATGGTGAAACCCCATCTTTTTTTTTTTTTTTTTTTTTTTTTTTTGAGACGGAGTTTCGCTCTTGTTACCCAGGCTGGAGTGCAATGGCGCGATCTCGGCTCACCGCAACCTCTGCCTCCTGGGCTCAGGCAATTCTCCTGCCTCAGCCTCCCGAGTAGCTGGGATTACAGGCACGTGCCACCATGCCCAGCTAATTTTTTGTATTTTTAGTAGAGACGGGGTTTCACCATGTTGACCAGGATGGTCTCGATCTCTTGACCTCGTGATCCACCCGCCTCGGCCTCCCGAAGTGCTGGGATTACAGGCTTGAGCCACCGCGCCCGGCCGAAACCCCATCTTTAAAAAAAAAAAAAGTCCTGCTGTTGCTTTGACTAGCCAAGTGACCCTGAGCAAACAACCTGGCCCCTTGGTGCTGCTCACAGGGCCTGATAAAATTAAATTCCTAGCTGCTCTGAGACTCGCACGGGATTATATCTCCAAAGGTGCCAGGCATGGAGCTGGGCACCAAGGTGCTTTCCATCCTCTCCCTGCCAGGGGATTCCCTGAGCTTCCATAGCGGGAGGCCTTTTACCACCTATGACGCTGACCACGATTCGAGTGAGAGCAACTGTGCTGTGATTGTCCACGGTGCCTGGTGGTATGGATCCTGTTATCGATCCAATCTCAATGGTCGCTACACAATGTCTGAGGCTGCTGCCCATAAATATGGAATTGACTGGGCCTCAGGCCGTGGTGTGGGCCACCCCTACCGCAGGGTTCGGATGATGCTTCAATAGGGCACTCTAGCAGCCAGTGCCCTTATCTCTCCTGTTCAACTTCCGGACCCTCAGCCACCTCCCCTTTGCCAACCACCTCTGCTTGCCTGTCCACATTTTAAAATAAAATCATGTTAACCCTTTCAAGACTCTTCTAGTTACTGTGAAAAACTCTAGAGGGCGGACCAGGGACGCGAGTTTCAGCTTGTGTCAGGAGGCTGGAAGGAAAGATGGAAAGGACAAGTTATTCACCCTATGTCCCCAGTTCTTGATTTCAGGGTCCACTGAGGCTTATACCAGGTCATTAATTCACACAAGAAAGTTGGGGATTCTTGGGGATTTGAAGCTGAGAAGCTGTTGTAGCCCAAAGGGCTGGAGTTGTCTCCTTCAAGGGGTGGGTAAAGAAATGTTTAGAAAGCCAGGTGAGGTGGCTCACACCTGTAATCCCAGCACTTTCGGAGGCCGAGGCGGGCGGATCAAGAGGTCAGAAGTTCAAGACCAGCCTGACCAACTGGGTGAAACCCCATCTCTACTGAAAATACAAAAAACAGCCGGGCATCGTGGCACGTGTAATCCCAGCCTATTGGGAGGCTGAGGCAGGAGAATTGCTTGAACTCGGGAGGCAGAGTTTCGGGGAGCTGAGATGGCACGGAGCTGAGATGGCGCCACTGCACTCCAGCCTGGGCAACAGAGCAAGACTCCATCTCAAAATAAAATAAAATATGTTTAGAGTGGAAAGTGCTTCTCAGGGCCTATGGTCACTTTCTGGATAGAAGTCAAAGGTCAGCGGGTCTCCACAGCAGGTTGGGCCCTAGGGAAAGCAGCCTCCTAAGCAACAGTAAAGGCTCAGATGCCAAGTCCCACTCCAGGTCTGAAGGCTTTTGAGCAAACGGCCTAGGGTGAAGGTTTCCCCCATCCCAGTCCTTCCCTGCCTGCACTCACTGGGCCCTGGAGGACACCCATTATTCACGGTGCTCTGCGCACCCTGATGTCTCTAGAGAGCCATTTCATTCAACAGATTCCTGCAGGGCAGGGCCTGCAGATCGAACCTTTTCCCTAGCTCTGGCCTTGTCACACATTTTATTCTCGCTTGCTGCGAGCAGTCCACAGTCTTGGGGTGCTTGGGGGCAGCAGGCTGTTCCGGAAGCGGCCAGTTTCCGAAGTTCTGGCGGGAGAGAAGGGAGGGGAGAGGCTGTCTCCGGCCGCTAGGGAGCGGCGCTGCCCCAGGGCCGAGGGTGGAGCTTTCCGGGTAGGCCGGGAAAGGGCTGGGTTCAGCCTACATGTGAAGGCAGGACAGCGTTGGCGGCCGCTCCCTTGAGTCCAGTTGGCGGGCACCTCCGGGCCGATTCCCAGGATCCCCCAAGTGGCTCTGAGCTGCCGCTCACCGGATGTCCCAGATTCTGGGACCCAATTCCCGAATTCAGAACCTCAGGACCTTGCCAAGTCCGAACTCGGATTTCTCCCTGGACTTTAGATTCTTGGAACGGGACGTCAGACCGGATTCTGGATCCCCAGATCCCGTAGGAGATTCTCCGATCTCGACCGGATTCCGGATCCCAAGATTCCCGATCCGCCGGCCCAGGCTCCTGCGCCGCCCCGGGTTCCCAGTGCGCCGCGCCCCGCGCCTGAGCGCCCCCGCATGGCGGGGCCGTGCCCCCGGTCCGGGGCAGAGCGCGCGGGCAGCTGCTGGCAGGACCCTCTGGCCGAGGCGCTGAGCCGGGGCCGGCTGCTCGCTACGCCCCCAGGCCGGGGCTGCGCGCGGAGCCGGCCGCTCAGCGTGGTCTACGTGCTAACCCGGGAGCCGCAGCCCGGGCTGGAGCCTCGGGAGGGAACCGAGGCGGAGCCGCTGCCCCTGCGCTGCTTGCGCGAGGCTTGCGCGCAGCTTCCCGGGCCGCGGCCGCCGCCGCAGCTGCTTAGCCTGCCCTTCGGGACGCTGGCGCTAGGCGACACCGCAGCGCTGGACGCCTTCTACAACGCGGGTGAGCGCGCCGGGGGCGGGACCGGATCCGGGAGGGGCCTAAGGTCCTGAGAAGGGACCAAGCCCAGGCAATACGGCTCAAGGGAGGGGCCGAGAGGGGTATCGAGTTTAAGGGACTTAGAAAGTGACCTAAAGCTGAAGGGCTTGAGACAGGGCCGTGAAAAAAGTGGGATTTAGGGGATGTGGGGCGCGGCGGGGCTCGGGACGAGACAGGGATCCAGGTGCGGCTCCTGGGTTTGGAGTTGGGGCTTTGGCACCCTTCCGTCGGGGCAGTGCCCAGCGAGCGAGGCAAGGATGGGGCGGGGCTTTGGAATTCTGGGGCGGGGCAGGGCGGGGAGCTGCGCGGAGCTGTAGTCTCAGGGGTGGGGTTGGAGAACTCAGCCTCAGGAGGATGTCACGCGGATCTCTTGAAGACAATTCCTGAGAGAGGAGCTTGGACTTAGGGAAAGGGGCTGTACCAGGGAGGCTGGAGTTGAGGAGTCCTAGCATACTACTTCCGAGAATCGGACTGGGAAGGCAAAAAGAGAGGCGAAGAGACCCAATGAGACTGGACACCCGGCGAGGGAGATTAAGTAGCGTCAGAGGCCAACAAATAATGGGCGGGGCAAGTGGGCGGAGAAGGATAGGCCAGGGGCGGGGCCAGAAGGAGGCTATTCCCTCGTGGGTCACTCCTCCCTCCTGCTAGCCTGGATGCTCCGCCCCCATACTTACTTGCCACTTCAAGAGTTCGGGAGCTGGGCTTCCTGGATGTCCAAGAAATCGCAGCCTAAAATGAAGGCTGACCCGACCACTCGGGCACAAAGACACAATTATCGACGGACACAAATCGCATACATGTTGACTCATGCAGGCCCTGGCAGACGCTGTCACACAAATGCAGTCAGACATAGTAAGCTATACATGTCACAGACACACACATACATACATGTAGGCACAGAGTTGTCTATGCATACTGATAGTAGCCTCTTTCAAGAGATTGCGTTGAAGACCTAGGAGAGAGGACTTCTATGTTTGCACAACTCCTGCCTCCCAAATGGCCTGGAACAGACTGAACCTGTCCACAGCCTCCCCTCCCCCATGCCAGGTGCTCACAGGCTCTGAACCGTGGCCTGAGGGTCTCAGCCCAGTGAGCCCAACTCCTCTCCTGCAATACCACAGAGATCAGTTCTGTGAACGTGCCAGGGGACCCTAAAAAGGGCCAAATGAGGCCCAGAGCAGAACCAGACCCTACTGGAGTCCCACAGCAAGATAGGCAGAGCCAGGATGGACCCTGGCTCCTTCCCCATCAAGCTGGGCTTCAGGGATCAGTGCCAGCCACTCTGTGCTTGCAGATGTGGTGGTGCTGGAGGTGAGCAGCTCGCTGGCACAGCCCTCCCTGTTCTACCACCTCGGTGTGCGTGAGAGCTTCAGCATGACCAACAACGTGCTACTGTGCTCCCAGGCGGACCTCCCTGACCTGCAGGCCCTGCGGGTAGGTGGCGGGTAGGTGGCCTGGGACTGGTGGGGGCAGGCACAGGGCTGGGGTGAGGCCCACGCAGAACACCAGTATCTGACTGTCTGCCTCCTGCAGGAGGATGTTTTCCAGAAGAACTCGGTGAGCAGAATCCACCTCTCACTCGAAAGTGCCCTTTGACTTCCACTATAATCTTTGACCTCCACTAATCCTCCTGGCCTCCTCAGTCACCTAATACCCCCTGACATCCATGTGTTCCTCTGTTTCCTGCTGCCTCCTTTCATGATGGTGCCCCTTTCCTGCAATTCCAACTCCCACTGGTGCTGACCTTTGGTGCTCTCATTCCCCTTGTTTAGCCCTGTGCTGACCCCTGACCTCACTGATTCCTGCCTCCCTCCACCAGGACTGCGTTGGCAGCTACACACTGATCCCCTATGTGGTGACGGCCACTGGTCGGGTGCTGTGTGGCGATGCAGGCCTTCTGCGGGGCCTGGCTGATGGGCTGGTACAGGCTGGAGTGGGCACCGAGGCCCTGCTCACTCCCCTGGTGAGCCGGCTTGCCCGCCTGCTGGAGGCCACACCCACAGACTCTTGGTAATGAGGGCCCCAGGAAGGGTGTCCCAGAAGGGGGCTGGTGAGGGTACAGAGGGCTGGGGCTGAGGTGCAGGCCCCACCATTCTCTCTCCCTGCCTCCCCTGCCCTGGGCATCAGTGGCTATTTCCGGGAGACCATTCGGCGGGACATCCGGCAGGCACGGGAGCGGTTCAGTGGGCTGCAGCTTCGGCAGGAGCTGGCTCGCCTGCAGCAGAGACTGGACAGCGTGGAGCTGCTGAGCCCCGACATCGTCATGAACTTGCTGCTCTCCTACCGCGACGTGCAGGTGTGTGGCATTCAGAGAGGCAGTAGAGCCGCCGGCATTTGAAGTCAGACAGACCCAGGTTCAGCTCCTGGCTGTGCCACTTGCTCACTGGTGGCTTTGGGCAAATATCAAACATCTCTTGAGTGTGGGCTTCCTTATCTGTAACAGAGGATAAGCATGTAAGCATGTTGCTGCCTCCCGGGGCAGTTGTGGGTTCGGAACACCCAGCATGGGGTATACGGTGGGTTCTCCCTGTGAGGTGTGGTGTACACGGGGCCTAAGGGAGGTCTGCAGAGGATGGTGGGTGGGTGGGATGTCAGGGGTGGGACAGGACCCCGGCTCAAGGTTCCTCGGGGCCTGGGGGCCCATGATGCTAGTGCTTGCCATTCTCTGATGCAGGACTATTCAGCCATCATTGAGCTGGTGGAGACACTGCAGGCCTTGCCCACCTGTGATGTGGCCGCACAGCATAACGTCTGCTTTCACTATACTTTTGCCCTCAACCGGTGAGTGGCAGAGCAGGGGTTAGGTCGTAGACACATAAAGGTTTCTGAAACCTGGGTCTCTGCTTGGCAAAGCCATTGCTGTCTGGGATCACTGCTGTTTGGGGAATTTGCTGACCAGGGTCCCTGATGTCAATAGGTCCCTGTTGTTCTGAGTTACTGCCAGGGTGGGGGCGGGGGAGGTAGTGCTGCCCATGGTATGGTCACAGCTGTCTAAGATCACTGCTCCTTAGAGTCACTGAATCTAAGACTTCACTTCCATCTGAGGTCACTACCGCTAGAGAGGTCAGTGCTGGCCAGGATCACTGTCATTTTGAAGTCATTATTGTCAGGCCCCTGGAAGGTTCCCTGCTGTTCAGTGTCTAGAGGTCCCTGTAGGGAGTAGGCCAGGGCCATCAGGGAGGGCCTGAGCCCATCTTTTCTTTTCCCTAGGAGGAACAGGCCTGGGGACCGGGCAAAGGCACTGGCCGTGCTGCTGCCGCTGGTACAGCTTGAGGGCTCTGTTGCACCCGATCTGTACTGCATGTGTGGCCGTATCTACAAGGACATGTTCTTCAGCTCGGGCTTCCAGGACGCCGGGCACCGGGAGCAGGCCTATCACTGGTGAGGAGCACAGTGAGTGGCCGGTGGGCTGAGCTGTGAGATGAGGTGCTGTGGACATGGTCCAGCCCTGTGCCCCCCACCCCCACCTCAGGTATCGCAAGGCCTTTGACGTTGAGCCCAGCCTCCACTCAGGCATCAATGCAGCTGTGCTCCTCATTGCTGCTGGGCAGCACTTTGAGGATTCAAAGGAGCTCCGGCTAATAGGTGAGCACAGATCCTGGCCTCGTCTTCTCACCCACAGGGGTTCAGAGGGGCCTGGGAAGAGGGCAGGAAGAGGGCACACTGGGCAAGAGCTAGGATGAGTTCATCCCTTTTGGACTATCCTGCCCATACCCACACCTGGGTCCTAATGCCCTCAGGAGCCCTCAAACCCAAAACTGTTCCCAAACTCACACCTGTGTGTACCTTACGTCCCGAACGCCACATATACCCATGCCTGAGCTCCTGTCCCCACCCAAGGTCTTGCCATATCTAACAATTTACTCGTATCTATGTTCATGTCCACACTCAGGCCCACAGAAACGGTGGGCCTCTCTCAGCCCTGCACCCACACTCACTGGAGCCCATGCCCCTCTCCCCCAGGCATGAAGCTGGGCTGCCTGCTGGCCCGCAAAGGCTGCGTGGAGAAGATGCAATATTACTGGGATGTGGGTTTCTACCTGGGAGCCCAGATCCTCGCCAATGACCCCATCCAGGTGGTGCTGGCTGCAGAGCAGCTGTATAAGCTCAATGCCCCCATATGGTAGGTGACCCCCTCTGCATTCTTGACCTAACCTGGGCTGTCAGCTCCTGCATCTATGTCTGTTGGCATGCTAGCCTGAACCCTGAGCCAATGACCTGGCTACTTTTAGAACAGTGCCTGTGGCACCCCATGCTAACGTTCTGGCTATATTCAGGCCAGATTCCTCTGCCTGGCAGTGCTGGTTGGTGCCTAGGCTGAACTGAGGGTATGGCTTTGCATGCAGGTACCTGGTGTCTGTGATGGAAACCTTCCTGCTGTACCAGCACTTCAGGCCCACGCCAGAGCCCCCTACAGGGCCACCACGCCGTGCCCACTTTTGGCTCCACTTCTTGCTACAGTCCTGCCAGCCATTCAAGACAGCCTCTCCCCAGGGTGACCAGTGCTTGGTGAGGCCTGTGGGGGTGGTGGACCTGGGAAAGGGGTGGACCGCTTCTGACCAACCCCTCACCCCCACTGCCTACAGGTGCTGGTCCTGGAGATGAACAAGGTGCTGCTGCCTGCGAAGCTCAAGGTTCAGGGTACTGACCCCGTGAGCACAGTGACCCTGAGCCTGCTGGAGCCGGAGACCCAGGTGAAGTCGCTGCTGAGGCCCCTCACTCTCCTCTGTGGGCACCTCTTCTGTGGAGCCTTTCTCCCATCCTCAGACCTCTCTCCTGTCCCCGCACCCTGAATCACACCCTATTTCTTCTTGCAGGACATTCCCTCCAGCTGGACCTTCCCAGTCACCTCCATATGCGGAGTCAGGTGATAGGCAGAACCTGGGGTGACTAGAAAGACCAGGAGATGAGGGTCGCTGCCGCCCAGCCTGGCACTCACCGGGTTCTTCATCTCCTCCCAGCGCCTCCAAGCGGGATGAGCGCTGCTGCTTCCTCTATGCACTGCCCCCGGCCCAGGACGTCCAGCTGTGCTTCCCCAGTGTAGGGCACTGCCAATGGTGCGCAGCCTTTCGTGGTTGGTGTACTCTGAGGGCCAGGATGACCGGGGGAGTGGGGAGAAAGGAAGGGATGACGTCCCTCGGGTGCTCCGGCTTAGGTGGGGACCAAGAGGCCCCTCCCGCGGGTCTGACCTCCCCCGCCTTCAGGTTCTGCAGCCTGATCCAGGCATTGGTGACGAACCCGGATTCCACAGCGCCCGCGGAGGAAGCAGAGGGCGTGGGGGAGGTCTTGGAGGTGAGGACGCAGGACTGGGTGCTCGCGGAGGGTGAGGGGCCACGGGCCCTGCTGAACCCCCATTTCACCCCACGCCCGGCAGTTTGATTATGAGTACACGGAGACGGGCGAGAGGCTGGTGCTGGGCAAGGGCACCTATGGGGTGGTGTACGCGGGCCGCGATCGCCACACGAGGGTGCGCATCGCCATCAAGGAGATCCCAGAGCGGGACAGCAGGTGCGTTGCGTGGCCGCGCGGGCCGGGGAGGGCTCTCAAGGGCCGAGTGGGCGGGGGCACGAGCTGAGCGGCTCCTGTGGGCGGGACCTAGTGGGCGAACTTGTAGGAGCTGAGAGGTCGAGCCCTTTGGACTGGGCCCGTGGCCGGAAGAACCAGGACCATGCGATCGGGACTCAGGTCTGGAGGGTCCTGTGGGCAGGGTAGTAAGGGTGGGAAAGGTCGGAGAGGGCTTGTGGGCGGGGCGGGTCCTGGGGGCGGGGGCTGGGCTTCTCTGCCCACATCTGCCCTTTTTCCTCTCTCCCTTACCTCCCCCCAGGTTCTCTCAGCCTCTGCATGAAGAGATCGCTCTTCACAAACGCCTGCGCCACAAGAACATAGTGCGCTATCTGGGCTCAGCTAGCCAGGGCGGCTACCTTAAGATCTTCATGGAGGAAGTGCCTGGAGGTACCTGCCCTGTGTGGGATGGGACCGAGGTGTGGGGACATGGGACCGAGGCAGGCAAAGGTAGAGAGCCCTAGGGGGAAACGCACCCTAGTGTGTGTGGGTGGTGTAGCCTAGAATTAGCTGAGGAGTGGCGCTGGGTGATGGAGCTGGGGCATGGGAAGTGTGGGGCATGGGACCGAGGCAGGCAAAGGTAGAGAGCCCTAGGGGGAAACGCACCCTAGTGTGTGGGGGTGGTGTAGCCTAGAATTAGCTGAGGAGTGGCATTGGGTGATGGAGCTGGGGCTACGACATGGGTGTGTTTGCGCCTTGAGCAGAGAGATGTGGGCTGGAGCAAGTGGGTGGGAACAATGAACTTGGACTGCCCCCACCCAGGCAGCCTGTCCTCCTTGCTGCGGTCAGTGTGGGGACCCCTGAAGGACAATGAGAGCACCATCAGTTTCTACACCCGCCAGATCCTGCAGGGACTTGGCTACTTGCATGACAACCACATTGTACACAGGGACATCAAGGTAAGCCCTGCCTGGGGCTGACTCGCCCTCATCTGGGGAGGGGGATTGGGAGGGAGGAGACATGGTCCCAGACACAGTTTAGATTAAGTGACCAGACCTGTTGCAAAGGGTAGGAAATTCATCAGAGAGGCTGCTTAGAGAAGGAGGGGAAAAGTTCAGCTCTGAAGCCATACCAGTTGTCAGCTCCCAGAGGGGCATATAAGTGGGATGGCAAGGGGAGACTGTTGACAGAGGAAGAACCAGGCTGGGCTCTCCAGGAGATGGGATCCCAGAAAGACGGTCTAGTTCTGCCGTCAGGGAGCCGGCCCAGTGTCCACTAATGACTATCAATCAGGGGGACAACGTGCTGATCAACACCTTCAGTGGGCTGCTCAAGATTTCTGACTTTGGCACCTCCAAGCGGCTGGCTGGCATCACGCCTTGCACTGAGACCTTCACAGGTAATGAGGTGTGGGGTGGTGAGTGGGGATGCTGATCTGGAGCAAAAGATCTCTTGGAGCTTTCCGGGGAACGGGGTTTCTCCTAGGCATGGAATTAGAGTCCTAATGGGGAATGAAATCCCGGGTGAGTGAGTGGGACGGGGTGAGGTGATGGCATTTAGAATTGGAGCTTGGATAACTGATGAAATTGACTTTAGCACTTGAGGAGTGTTGATGTAGGTCAAGGTGGGAGTTGGAGGAAGAGGCGGGTGATGGAGTTCAGGGAGAGGATGCAGTCCAGGATGTGTGAGGGAACTACTCTGGGTGATGGAGTCTGTGACTGTAGTGGAGCCTAGGATGAATGATGGAAGCCTTGGCAGGTTGTGGAGCCTAGGGTGGTGATGGAACTCAGGATAGATGTTTGATGACCAGGAGGATAGGTGTTGAGGTACGTTTTGGATGGTAGGTTCTGTATGGGTGCAGTCAGCCTGAGGATGATGGCATTCCCCTCCCTGCTCCCACCTCATGATACAGCCTAGACGGGTATTTTTGCTCCTGCTTCTGTCCTAGGAACTCTGCAGTATATGGCCCCAGAAATCATTGACCAGGGCCCACGTGGGTATGGGAAAGCAGCTGACATCTGGTCACTGGGCTGCACTGTCATCGAGATGGCCACAGGTCGCCCCCCCTTCCACGAGCTAGGGAGCCCACAGGCTGCCATGTTTCAGGTGAGACCCCTCTGGGCCTGGCCCGTGGAGGTGGCATAGCGCCAGCCTGGGTCTTGGACACCTCTGAATGTCACCCTTGTTTGCCCTCCCCCTGCAGGTGGGTATGTACAAGGTGCATCCACCAATGCCCAGTTCTCTGTCGGCGGAGGCCCAAGCCTTCCTCCTCCGAACTTTCGAGCCAGACCCCCGCCTCCGAGCCAGCGCCCAGGCGCTGCTGGGGGACCCCTTCCTGCAGCCTGGAAAGAGGAGCCGCAGCCCCAGCTCCCCGCAACATGCTCCACGGCCCTCAGGTGCTTGGGGGTGGCAGGATGGGCATGCTGGCGGTGGAGGAGCTTTGGAGCTGTGAGGGCAAAGGAGGGCCCAGCTGACAGCTCTGTCCTTCCCTCAGATGCCCCTTATGCCAGTCCCACTCCTTCAGCCGACTCAACCACCCAGTCTCAGACACTCCCGTGCCCTCAGGCACCCTCTCAGCACCCGCCCAACCCCCCGAAGCGCTGCCTCAGTTATGGGGGCACCAGCCAGCTCCGGTGAGACCTAGGCTCCTGGGATGGGTTCCCTTTGCCTGGTTTTGCCTTTTTATCCCATCCTACAAAAGCCCTCCTTGGGGGCCTGGGCACCTTGACCACTTGTGAATGTGGCATTTGGTGCCTCCCCATGCCCTGTCCTGGAAACTCTAACTTGGACTTGTTGTGTCCTCTCAGTGCGGGGTTTATCTATGTTCATCCCTGAGAGAAAGGCATGAAAGTAGGAGAGCCAGGATTCAAACCCGGCAGCAGAGGTGGCTGGCCGGTTACTGCCTGTCTTCAATCAGCCGCTCGCCCTTGTGCCCAGGGTGCCCGAGGAGCCTGCGGCCGAGGAGCCTGCCTCTCCGGAGGAGAGTTCGGGGCTGAGCCTGCTGCACCAGGAGAGCAAGCGTCGGGCCATGCTGGCTGCGGTGCTGGAGCAGGAGCTGCCGGCGCTGGCGGAGAATCTGCACCAGGAGCAGGAGGAGGTGGGCGGCCCGCCCTAGCGCCCCCTGGTGGTCGCACAGGGTCAGGACACCTGTTGAGGTCTTCCCCGCACCCCCTGCCACTCCACCTCCGCGGCAGCATTTCTTTGGCTCGAACAGGCGCTGGCAATCCCTCACTTCCTTCTCAGGGGTCCCGACTGGGCAGAAATCATGTGGAACAGCTGCTGCGCTGCCTCGGGGCACACATTCATACTCCCAACCGCCGGCAGCTGGCCCAGGAGCTGCGGGCGCTGCTAGGACGGCTGCGGGCCCAGGGCCTTGGACCCACACTTCTGCACGCCCCGCTCTTCGCCTTCCCGGATGCGGTGAGGGCGCCCTCTGGTAGTTAGGGCTGCCCAGAAACGGGTAGTGAGCTCCCCGTGCCTGGGAAGGTGCCAGGGCTTGAAGTTCCAAGATTCTCTGTTTCCTCCGTGAAGATCAGGCCTTCAGCAAAAAGCCGTCTGCCCAGTCCTAGCTTCCCCGCCCATCCCTAGACCTCAAGCCCGCTCTCCCCACCTGCCTTCCGCAGACTTTCCGGGCCTTTCCAACTCAAGCCCTGCGTCTAGTTGAGGCTCGGCTGTCTCAGCGGCGCCCTCCCTCCCTCTGCAGGTGAAGCAGATCCTCCGCAGGCGCCAGATCCGCCCACACTGGATGTTCGTGCTGGACTCGCTGCTCAGCCGTGCTGTGCGGGCAGCCCTGGCTGTGCTAGGCCAGGGTAGGAGGGGAGTGTCGCGGGCCTCTTGCCAGCGAGGGTGTGGTGCTTGCTGGGCGCGATGAACGCCTAATGGGGCCGGTGGGGGCCAGGCGGGACGGGGACGGGCAGGCGCCGGTGGGGGCGTGACTAAATGGACAGCTCCCCTACCAGCACCGCCTGGGCCCTGCCCAGAGCCGGGCACCCAACCCCGGCACTCCCTTGCTGGGATCTGGGGGTCCCAAACGGGCTTTGTAGCCTTGCCTAAGTTCATTGCACTGGGCTGTAGAGGTGGAGAAGGAGGTGGTCTCACCGAGGTCAGAGGAGCTGAGTAAAGAAGGGGACTCCCAGCAGAGGCCGCTTCCAGTGGAGCCCGAGCAGGGCCCCCCTCCTCTGATGGTACAGCTGAGCCTCCTGCGGGCGGAGACTGATCGGTAAATCCTCTTGGAATCGCTCATAGCCTCTGCCGAGCTTCAATCCACTCCCCAGTCCCCACTCCACTCTACTCTTCTGCCCCCGACAGGCTGCGGGAAGTCCTGGCGGGGAAGGAACGGGAATACCAGGCCCTGGTGCAGCGGGCTCTGCAGCGGGTGAATGAGGAGGCAGGGACCTGTGCCCTGGCCTCAGAGCCCCCAGGTGATTGGGCGTGGCTGGAGAACACTATTGTGAATGTGAGGCAGCTTCTAGCAGGAGGCACCCTGGGCCTCATCGCCTGACTGCTTCTTGACAGCTGCTCTTTCAATGGACCAGGGCCTGGTGCAGTGGCTACAGGAACTGAACGTGGATTCAGGCACCATCCAAATGGTGAGGCAGGGAGTGCTTGGCTGCCCATGACCTCGTTGGCCAAAGCCTCCATCTCTGTCCATTTTCCTGCTCTTCTCACTGTGCCCTCTGATGCAGAGAATCTCAATACTGGAAGAACACTTAGTATACTCTTCCCATTGTATGGATGAGAAAACTGAGGCCCTGAAGCATGTGGTTTGCCTCAGTATTTTGGCAGCAGAGCAGAGCTAGTACCTGGGTCTCTGGACACATCTTTTTGTAATTTCTTCTTTCCCTGTTTCTTCGGGTCTTTGTCCACATCCAGCTGTTGAATCATAGCTTCACCCTCCACGCCCTGCTCACCTATGCCACTCGAGATGACCTCGTCTACACCCGAATCAGGTACATCCTGGGCCCCTCAAGGGTGAATCATGTATGTGGTCTCATGCGGTCAGCTGCAGGCCTGCCTACGTGCCTTCCTGGAAACCAAAGGGGCACCTGGGTCCCCTAGGGACAGAGGAGGCACTGGGCAGACAGTGGGTGCCAGAGAGAGTCCAGGGCCACCTTCTGGCTGTGCCACCTTGAGTCTGCTACCCCCAGGGGAGGGATGGTATGCCGCATCTGGAGGGCCATCTTGGCACAGCGAACAGGATCCACGTCAGTCACCCCCGGACCCCGGGAGGCTGAATGAGGGCATCAGAGACCAGACAGACCCAAGGATGGATGAATGGAGAGGACAAAGGCAGCTTCTGACCACCAGCCCCAGGACACCTGGGGCGACTGGAGGAAGCCAGGCGAGTAGGGGCCAGGACTGGTCCTAGTGAGAGGAGCCAACCACCAGCACTCAAGCACCACCAGACAAAGTGTATTAAACAGAACACTTTTGCCCATTTCTGCTGGCAATTTCAGAGGTGTATTTGGGGAGGGGTATCCTGGGAACAGCCCCCTGAGGACTTTTTTTTAAAAAGTTGTTTAGGCTGGGGGCAGGGGCTCCCGCCTGTAATCCCAGCACTTTGGGAGGCTGAGGCAGGCAGATCACAAGGTCAGGAGTTCGAGACCAGCCTGACCAACATGGTGAAACCCTGTCTCTACTAAAAATACAAAAATTAGCCGGCCGTTTGTGGTGCACACCTATAAATCCCAGCTACTCAGGAGGCTGAGGCAGGAGAATTGCTTGAAAATTAGCTGCAGGTGGTGGTGTCACATGCCTCTAGTCCCAGCTACTCAGGAGGCAGAGGTCATCCAGGCTGGGAGTGCAGTGGCATGATTATATTCATGCAGCCTCGAACTTCTGGATTCAAGTGATCCTTCCTCCTCAGCCTCCTGAATAGCTGGGACTGCAGGTGTGAGCCACCACACCCAGCTAATATTTAAACATTTTTGTTTTAGAAATAGCTTCTTGCTTTGTGGCATAGCTCACTGCAGTCTCTAACTCCTGAGCACAGGCAATCTGCCTGCCTCAGCCTCCCAAGTAGCTGGAACTACAGGCATGTGACACTACCACCTGCAGCTAATTTTTAATTTTTTTGTAGAGATGGGGCGGGGGGGGGGTCTTTCTATGTTGCTCAGGCTGGTCTTGAACTCCTGGGCTCAAGCAATCCTTCTGCCTCAGCCTCCCAAAGCACTGGGATTACAAGCGTGAGCCACTGTGCCTGGCTTCACTGAAGTCTTTATGGCAGAGTCTGAAGTTCCTTAACCTGGCCCCTCTTATTTCCCTGGCTTTTTCCAGCAATCACCTTTCTTCCTCCCTGCCCCAGCAGACACGAGCCCTTTATTGCTCTTAGAAGAGACTTTATTGACTTTAGCCAAGGGCAGGCCCTGAGATGGGGGTCCAGAGAGAGAGGTTTGATCAGGCTACGTCCTGGGGGCCAGGTTGGTTCTGAGCGGTAGAAGGCCATCCACCCACTCGCACGGCTGCTCCAGGAGGGCCTGCCACAGCCGCTTCTCCTCTGGTGTGGAATCCATCCAGGGCACCTGCAGCCCATAGCTGCTGCCTGGATGTGTGTGGGCAGGGGTTGACGGCATGATCACATTAGACACCTTGGGGCCCCCAGACACCTGCCTGGTCCCAGATTATGCACTATCCCCAGTTAACTTCCTCAGTTATCAGTAGATACCAAAGCTCAGGAAAGGGCAGAGAGGTGTCCAAGGCCATACACTGAGCCCCCATCTCTCAACGCCTGCCTCAGGTCCCTGCCCCACTTACCAGTGCCCAGGCTGAGACGTGTGCCCCCCAGCTGGCGGCTGGCCAGGGCCCCATGGTCCCAGAGGGAGAGCTCAGCACAAGCCTGGCGCAGGTCAGCAGGCCCAAAGCCATCATACACCATGGTGTGGTTGAACACAGGGCTGAGGCTGCGTCGCACAACCCTTGTACGCTGGCGGCTGGCCCGGCTGTCATCAGGCAGCACGAAGCTGTGCGGGAGGTGGCCTGGCATCAGGTGACCAACCCTCACACTCGCTAGTCATCCAGTCACCATACACCACTCATTCTCCCTCACATGTGTCCATGCGCCCTGGCTCCTGCCTACCTGGCCTCAGACCCTCACTGCCCTGGGATCTTTGCACTAACTACCTCTCAGGTCTCCTGGCTTTAAAAGCTCCTGGCCAGGCAGGGTGGCTCATGCCTGTAATCTCAACCCTTTGGGAAGCTGAGACCACTGGATCACCTGAGGTCAGAAGTTCTGGATTCAAGCGACCAGCCCAGCCAACATAGCAAAACCCCATCTCTACTAAAAATACAAAAATTAGGCTGGGCACGGTGGCTAACACCTGTAACCCCAGCACTGTGGGAGGCCAAGGGGGGCAGATCACCTGAGGGCAGAAGTTCAAGACCAGCCTGACCAACATGGAGAAACCCTGTCTCTACTAAAGATTAGCCAGGTGTGTTGGCACATGCCTGTAATCCCAGCTACTCAGGAGGCTGAAATAGGAGAATTGCTTACATCCAGGAGACAGAGGTTGCAGTGAGCCAAGACACCACCATTGCACTCCAGCCTGGGCAACAAAAGCAAAACTCCATCTCAAAACAAAAAAATAAACAAAAATCAGCTGGGCATGATGGCATGCACCTGTAATCCCAGCTACTCAAGAATTGCTTGAGCCCAGGAGGTTGAAGCTGCAGTGAGCTGAGATCATGCCATTGCACTGCAGCCTAGGTAACAGAGCCAGACTGCATCTCAAAAAAAGAAAAAAATTGCAGCCCTATTCACAGAGCTGCAGAGTGATGTTTCTGAAATGCAGTTCTGCTACTTGCTGACTCAGTGACTTTCACTATCTTCCTGTTGTTCCACCACCACCCCTCCTCAGTTTCCAAGGTTTGGTTTTGTTTTGCTGAGACAGAGTCTAGCTCGTCCTCACCCAGGCTACAGTGCAGCGGGGTAATCTTTGCCTCACTGCAACCTTCTGCATTTGAGTGATTCTCCCACCTGTCTCCCAAGTAGCTGGGATTACAGGCGCCCACCATCATGCCTGGCTAATTTTTTGTATTTTTAGTAGAGACAGGGTTTCGCCATGTTGGTCAGGCTGGTTTTGAACTCCTGGCCTCAGGTCATCCGCCCGCCTCAGCCTCCCAAAGTGCTGGGATTACAGACGTGAGCCACCAAGCCAGGCCTGTTTCCAAGGTTTTCAAAGCCTCACAACCCCCTCTACAAAATACAGTGTTGCTCAGAAGTACAGTACCTGAAAGAAATAACGTCTCTGCCTCAGGGTGGACACCCAGAAGTGATCAGCCACCTCCGTTTCACTCTCTAAGGGTGGGGCAGCACCTGGAGGGACCCCTAGAGGTCCCCTGGAAGCTTAGAAAACCACTGAACTATAAGTTTGGGGCCAGGCCCCACAGTCTGGCCTCCCAGGTTCTCTATGGAGGGACCCCTGAAGTCCTCAGCCTCAGCTCTTCAACAAGACCTATAGGTGCCAGTCCTGCTGAAACGCAGTTCCTCAAAGATGTCCTCAACTTGCCTGACTCCAGACCTTTGCTCAAACTGTCCCCTTTCCCCCTGCTCAGTGGTGAAAGCTCGTCCTGCCTGATCAAGGGTTGATTAGTAGGGGTTTGTCAAGGTTGGGCACTTCACTGCAGGCAAAAGAAAGGGAAGCCCGGAGGGCCAGCACTCCTCACCATTGTACGTAAGTGTCCAGGGAGCCTGCCCGAATCGGCAGAAGGTCCCGAGCCTCCTTCACCCAGAAGTGCAGCTCCCCGCTCGGGGGCAGTCCTGTGCCTGCCGAGACGCTCAGCTGAGTCCCGCGCACGGATGGAGTCCACCGCCCCCCAACCCGTTGACAGGAGTCTCCCGTTTTTCAGGGTGGGTCCAGCTTGGCCTCTCCGGCTGCTACTCACCCTCGGAGCCGGCTGGGACGTACTTGAGGGACAGGGAGAGCAGCCCTCGGCTGGGAAGGTCGTCGGGATAGGGTGGGACCTGCGAGAGGCGAGCTTGTCGTGGAGCAGGGTCCAATGGAAAGGGGCCTCAGGAGGGTGGGGTCTGCAGACCTCGATGGGAGGCGGTTAGCAGAGACAGCGGGGCCCGCAGGGGCGGAACTTGGGGATCCCAGCACCCTCAGGGAAGGGGCCCTGAAGTTAAGAGGTTGAGGGGAGGCTCTGTCGAAGATGGGGTCTGAGGGAGCTGCGGGAGAGCCTGGTGGGGTACATGCAGGAGACCCGGGCCGCAGGTCTCCCTGCCGGTCCTGGCTCCTCACCCGGGGGTGCAGGGGGAGCCAGGTGGGCTCAGAGCCCCAGTCCCACGTGTCTAGAGGCACTTCAGCTTCGCCCAGAAAGATGTTGCGACCCAGACTTTCGCGGTGCCACACGGACAGGCTCAGCACGCGGCCCTGGAGCTCGGCCTGCGGTACGGAGTACTGGGGACAGGAGGGGCGCTTTAGCGGAGCACTGCTGGTGGCCCGCGTGGATGCTGTGCGAGTTGGCTGGGGCGGGTCCTACCGCGTTCCTAGCACAATGGAATCCTGGGGAGCCCCGAAGGGCATTAGTGGGGGTCTGGACTATCACCACGCCCACCACAAGGCTGGCACCCTGGACAACGCGTTAACGGGGCCCGCCCTGCCCATCCTCCAGGTAGTAACGGTACTGTGCCCCTGCCACCTCGCTCCGCAGGAAGGGGCATCCTGTTCATCAACAGGGAACTGCACTGTGGTCACAGCCTCACCCGGAGAGTCTCGTTGAAAACTGGATTCAGATTCCGTTTCTTCACCGCCGTCTTGCGCTTGCTCTGCTTATCGGGGAGGAGGTAGCTTTTGACGTAGCTGGGGAGGTGAGAACCGGAGGTGAGGAGGGGCCCTCCCAGAGCCTTCTCCCTTGCCTTGTGCGCTCCCCCAGCCACCACCCCGAACACGTGCTAGGCCTCGTGCTAAGCGCTTTACAGGGATTGTCTCACTCAATCCCACGCCTCCCAACAACGCTGCTGTTCCCATTTTGAAGATGAGGACGAGGAGAGCGAGACCCTGTGAATGGTGCACTTGGAAGAGACAGCCGCGCCCCGCTAGGCGGGCTGGGCACTCACGGGTCGGAGCGGTGGCGCCGGGCGGCAGCCAGGCCCTGGCACTGGATCACGTGCACGCGCAGCTCGGCAGTGCCCGGCTCGTAGTGCAGCGCGAAGTGCACGGAGCCGCGCACCTGCACCGCCTCCGCCTCGCCGGACAGGCTCAACTGGCTGCCACTCAGCTGCGGGCGGGAGTGGGTGGGAATCAGGGCCACTCGCAGGGCTCACGTCGGGGCCCGTGGTGGGAGCGCAGAGGGTTCAGATCCGGGTCATGGAGGGCAAGCCGGGGGTCTGCAGCGTTGGGTCCCACGGCGAGGGAGGAGCTGGCAGGGGCTGCGCGTCGAGGCGTGTCCACCTCCCCCGCCGCCCGGGCCCCCTCCCTCCCGCCTCACCGTGGAGGAGTTAAGGCTGGACACGGAGGAGCTGCTGCTGAGCATGCAGTTGAGTGAGGGGTCGGACCCTGGGGCCTCCTCCCCGTTCTCCAGGATCTGGGATACGTCCTTGGTCTGCAGAGGGGGCAAATGACGGGGCGCCCCTTCTTTCCCCGCCCCTGCCCCGAACGCCCTGGGTCGCAGGCTGCTTGCAGGCTTGGGCCGGAGCGCTCCCCGTCCAGAGTCCGCTCCGGGTCTTGAGCGCAGCCGCGGGCCACTCCCGCCTACCTGGGCTTTCAGCGGCCCGGGCTCCTGCTCTCCCCCCGACGCGGGCTCCGGCTCCGGGTCCGCCTTGTCGGCACAGATCTGCAGGTCCCCTTGGCCAGGGCCTGGGGTGGGGCACGAGATGCTGAGCGAACCCTCTCCTGCCCGCCCCTGAGCAAATTTGGAGGAACGGGTTTACAACCCCAGCGAGCTGCAGATTCAGGTCCCGGTGCTGCCCTGGGATCGTCCCCACCTCCGACGTGGGGTGGGAGTGGCGGGGAGAAGGGTGAACAGAGGTCCCTGGGGCTCCATAGAGCTGCCTCTGACCCCCGAAACCTCTCCGTGCTCCCCAACAGGCGCTCCCACTCACCTTCCTGGGACGCCTCCTCAGGATCTGAAGCCTTTAGAGGGACATAAGGCGATGGGAAATCAGGTCCCTGAAGGAATGAAGGGGTAGAGGTCACAGTGGAGGGGTTGGTAAGGGAGGGGTCAAAGGTCATGTTGGGGTCAGAGGTCAATGGTTCCGGAAACTACCCCAGTTTCAGGTTTAGGGCAGTACTGGGGCAGGGCTGGCAGCCAGCTGCAGGAGCCGGGGAGCCTGTGCTTCACAGCCCACCCCGCAGGGCTTGTGCTGCCTGACTCCCTGCTCCCATTGGTGGGGGCATTCATACCTGAGTCCTCCACCTCTGCCAGCCCAGTCCCTTATTTTATTTTATTTTTTTAAATACTGACCCATTGGTAAACATCCTTTTTTTTTTTTTTTTTTTTTTTTTGAGATGGAGTTTCGATCTTGTTGCCCAGACTGGAGATCGCAATGGTGCCATCTCAGCTCACTGCAACCTCCACCTCCCAGGTTCAAGCGATTCTCCTGCCTCCACCTCTTGTGTCACCATGCCCGGCTAATTTTGTATTTTTAGTAGACATGGGGTTTCTCCATGTTGGTCAGGCTGGTCTCCAACTCCCGACCTCAGGTTATCTGCCTGCCTTGGCCTCCCAAAGTGCTGGTATTACAAGTGTGAGTTACTGCACCCAGCCTTTTGTTAATTTTTTATAGAGATGGAGGGCATTTTGCTATCTTGTCCAGGCTGGTCTTGAACTTCTGGGCTCAAGCGATCCTCGTGCCTCAGCCTCCTAAAGTGCTGGGATTACAGATGAGAGCCACCATGCCCGGCCCCACTTCACCCCTAATAGCCAGATTCAGAAGTTCCCTCAGAGGCTCATACCACTGTTCGACCCAGGAGATGCTTAGGTGCAGACACAGGAAGGGACATGTCCAGGGTCTCCCCATTCCCAGGCTGGGACCTTTCCCCCTTCCCCCTCCCTCCCCGCACATTCCATCTCCTCTCCAGGGACACTGTACTCACACATTGGCTCATTCACTCTTACCTCAGGCTCCCTGAGCCTCTCCTGGGGGGCCGCCTCATCAATGGAGAGCCTAGGAGTAGGGAGAGGACACTCAGAGGGAGGGACCCTGGTGACTGGTGGGCATGGTCTCCCCCTCCCTGAGACCCCTCCTCACCTGGGTTCTGGCACATCTTCCTTCTCTTTCACAGCAGCCTCGGCCTCCCCGTCGCTGCCTGGAGCCTGGTCTCCTGGGGGCAGGTGAGAAATTCTGTGAACCCCCATGTTCAGAAGCCTGGTTGTGACTCGGGAGAGGCCCTGGAGATGCCCACCCACCCCATGCCCACGGAGGGGCAATGCCCACTCAAAGACACACACAGGGGCAGCCAGGACTGGAGCCCTGGGCCCTCTCTCCCTGTCCACATACAGCCAGTGCCCTGGATGGCACATGGCTTGCCCTGCTGGGAGGATCTCCTCTCACCCCTGGAGCTCTTCTTCCTGCGCATAGAGGCTCGAACAAGGTCAGAGCCGAAGTGGGCACTGTGATGCCGCTGGGAGCGTGCTTCCTGGAACCAGTCCCCTGTCAGGATCTTCAGCTGCCCGGGGTCTGCCAGTGAGGCCCGGAGCTTGCTGGAGGAAGGGGGAGGGTGTGGCTATCATGACTCATCCAAGCAACATTCCCACCACGCACATGGTACCAGGCTTGGGACCAGGGGCCAGGGACCCAACAGCAAGTCAGATTTGATGTGTGCTATGGAGGAGCTCAGGCTGCTAGGGAGACCAAGTCTGGAAGAGACAAGTATGCTATAGTGAGCTAGATGATGTGATAGAAGAAGAGCCAGCTCTGCCTGTGAGAATCTAGGAGGGCTTCCCAGAGGAGATGACATTTGAATCACCTTGATTTATTTATTTACTTATTTTGAAATGGGGTCTCCCTCTATGCCCAGGCTGGAGTGCTGTGGCACAATCTTAGCTCACTGCAACCTTCATCTCCCAGGCTCAAGTGATCCTCCCACCTCAGCCTCCTGAGTAGCTGGAACTACAGGCACATGCCACCATGCCTGACTAATTTTTTGTGGTTTTTTGTAGAGATGGGGTTTTTCCATGTTGCCCAGGCTGGTCTCTAACTCCTAGACTCAAGTCATCCACCTGCCTAAGCCTCCCAAAATGTTAGGATTACAGGCATGAGCCACTGTGCCCAGCCTTGAATTGCTTCTTAAAAGACAAATTGGAATTCTCCAGGTAGAGAAGGGTAATAATAATTATTATTTTTTTATTATTTTTTTGAGACAGGGTCTCACTCCGTTGCCCAGGCTGGAGTGCAGTGGCATGATCATAGCTCACTGCAGCCTCACCTCCTGGGTTCAAGCAATCCTCTCGCCTCAGCTCCTGAATAGCTGGGACTACAGGCACATAACACGATGCCAGGCTAATTTTTTATATTCTGTAGAAATGGGGTCTCACTGTGTTGCCCAGGCTGATCTTGAATTCCTGGGCTCAAGCAATCCTCCCATCTCTACCTCCCAAAGTGCTAGGATTATAGGCATCGCCACTGTGCCTGTCCAATTCCTCTTAAATCAATGAAATAGAACTGCTTAGCTCCATTTTACAGGCGAAAAGCATGGTACTCGAGGTCAGGTGAGTTGCCCAAGGCTACATAGCTAGGAAGTGTTTGTCCCTAAACATTGCTTGTAACACCCATGCTCTTCTACCACTGTGCTCTTCCAGGAAGAAGTACCAGCATAGGCATAGAAGTGAAGGTGTGTCAGGGGCTGGGGAGCTCCTGAGTGGCTAGAGGGGTCATTTTATGTATTTGTCATGTAGGGGTTACAGTGGAAGAGGAGATGGTGGGGGCTGGCAAGGACCCACCAGGGAGGCCCAGTGGACCTCCTGGGAGCTTGCCCTCGACATTAGAGGCTGGGGAGCCAAGGGAAGTTTCAGCAGGGATATTAAGGACAGATCTGCCTGGGTGTGGTGGCTCACGTCTGTAATCCTGGCACTTTGGGAGGCCGAGGCGAGCGGATCACCTGAAGTCAGGAGTTTGAGACCAGCCTGAACATGGGGAAACCCCGTCTCTACTAAAAATACAAAATTTAGTTGGGCGTGGTGGCATGCGCCTATAATCCCAGCTACTCCTACTGTGGCAGGAGCAGCAGCACAGAGACACACATGCACACAACCTGAGGTACGGCCCACTTGAACCCAGGGGGCAGAGGTTGCAGTGAGCTGAAGAAAATGAAACTCTGTCTAAAAAAAAAAAAAAAAAAAAAAAAAAAGGGACAGATCCGGGGAGCTGCAGGAAGTGGGCTCAAGAGGCAAGTCTGGAGGCAGAGAGGCTGGTGAGAAGGCTGGTGCAGTCACCCCTGGAGAAGAGACGAGCTGTGAGCTGGCCAGGGTCAGAGGAGAGGAGACTAAAGGGCGAAACCGAGAACCACAAAGACATCTGACAGGCAGTGTGTCAGCAGGAGCAGGGTGGGGGCCACTCAAGCCTCTCGGTGCTCCCTGGCAAGGGTCTGCCCTGCCTCACCTGACACGCCCCTCCTCCAGCTGGCGCAGGCGGGCATCTCGTTGGAGGACGCCAGCAATGGCCTCCTGCTCCTCCTCTGTCAGGAAGCTGAGGTCCAACAGTCCTTCAGGCTCAGGCTTTGGCCCATGCGCCATGGAGAGAGAGGGCAGAGCCCAAAGCCCCTCTTGAGATGGGTGGCCCCTCTGGGGCATCAGCTGGGGCTGTGCCCCAGCTGGGCACACGTAGCTTCCTGGGGGAAGACGGAGGGTCTGGTCAAGCCCTGCATAAATACTTGGCACATCTTGGAGCCAACAGTCCTTTTTACCCCCAAACACTTGCCCCAGTATGGGTGGGGTGCCATTCCAGGACGGCTGAGCTCAAGGTGGGGTGAGAGGTACTCATGCACAGATGCATACACTGGCCCATGAACATACGCAGGCACACAGCAGAAGCAGCACAGAGACACACATGCACACACCGAGGTAGGGCCACACAGAACTGCAGCGATGGAACACACAGCACACGCACACACGTTTATCCATGTAGGCACAGATACAGTCCCACATGCACACTGATGCCTGCATAATGACAGGCACACACACAGCTGTTCCCCCACAAAGGGCCCTCTGCAGACACCAACCCGGACCCATGCCCAGGAGACATGCACACACATTTTTAAATCTGCACACAGCGGCCAGGTGTGGTGGCTCATGCCTGGAATCCCAACACTTTTGGGAGGCCGAGGCAGGAGGATCACCTGAGGTCAGGAGTTCGAGACCAGCCTGGCCAACATGGCAAAACCCCCATCTCTACTAAAAATGCAAAAATTAGTTGGGCGGGGGGGCACATGCCTGTAATTCCAGCTACTCAGGAAGCTGAGGCAGGAGAATCACTTGAACCTGGGAGGTAGAGGTTGTAGTGAGCTGAGATCGCACCACTGTACTCCAGCCTGGGTGACAGAGTGAGACTCCATCTCAAAACAAACAAATAAACCTGCATACAGCATGTGCACAGCAAGGTGGATCGACCCACCTGGATAGGTTCACCTATACATGAACAAGTCTGGGGACAAATATGTCCCTCGATAAAGATGTACATAAACAAAAATCACACAGACTTTGTACACACACATTGCCCAGCTAACTGGGTTGTGAGCTCCTTGGAGGCAGGGAGAGGGAGTCACCCTCAGAGCCAGTACTTTGCATACAACAGATGGTTGGTAAAAGTTTGATTAATTAAATGCAGAAATATGCCTGCACACACATGGGAATGCATGCATACAACCACCCACCTAGACACACAGGCACAGACACACACACACACCTGCTCACCCCCCAGCCCCAGGAACTTCATAGGCTGGGTCCCCTCCCGCCACCCTTCACCTCCACCCTGCCCTGGCCCATTTGGCCTTCCTGTCTGAGGCAACCTCCTCTTCAGCCCACACCCCCAACTTCCTCCCCCGAGGTAACTGCCGCACCCACTCCCATGGAGGCCTCCAACCCAGGGACGCCCCTGCCACCAGCCCTGCCCTCTTGCCTGGAGCCACCAGGCCCCTTTGCTCTGGCCACATGGCTCTCCTGAGACCAGGCTGGGGTACTGGCAGTGGAGACCTAGGCTGGCACAAGTACCACTCTCCTACCAGTGACGCCGGAAAGAAAACATTTGAGCGCTGAGGGGCACGGAGACGTGGCAAGGGGCCCATGACTTGGCCAGGGCTATGTCCTGAGCCCACTGGGTGCCTCTCATCTCTTCCCCGCCCCTTCTATGCCAGGGCTCCAGGTGGGGCTGGGAAAGCAGCTGGGCAGGCAGGTCCCTGCTTGTGTCTGCGCCTATTATGCTCTGTCCCCTTCCAGCTGAGTCAGTGGCTGAGCCCCAGTGATCCCTCTTGACACCCTCAGGAGCTGAAGCCTTCTGCGTGGCTGCACTGCATACATTCACTCTGTGAATACCTTTGTGCTCCACAGCAGCAGTTACCCTGAAATTCTATGGCCAAGGCGCGGGTCTTGCAAATGCACAGTTTGGGCTCCCCTGTGGATTGGGGTGTGAGTCCACATCCCTCTCTGTGCCATGTGGTGTGGCTGTGTGGGTCCGAGTCTGCTGGGCATGTCTGTGTAGCATGGGTCTGTGAGCTGCGGGGCTGTTGTGTGTGTCTTTGTGTCTTGCTGCAGTGTGATGCTGTGTGGTGACTATATTGTCGGTGCAGTGTGTTCAGTGACTTTCTGGGTGATAGCACCATGTGGGGTATGTGCAGGGTGCATTGTGTATTTCCTCCTGTGCTGTTCATGTGACTGGGCTGTGTGCTGTGGGGTGTCTCCGGGTGCCTTGTGGGCCACCAGGTGTGTGTGTCTGAGTGTGGATGGAAGGAGGGAAATGTTTGGCAGAACTGAGCCTATCTCTGTCCTGCAGGCCGGCCTGGGCTGGGCCATGGACATCAGAGCCCAGCATCCCCAGCAGCGACCCCTCCCTGAAATCCCCTCTCCTACCAGAGGCAGAATCAAGTGTCTGGTCTTCCCTGCTGTTTCAACACCGTGGGACAGATCCATTGGTCAAGAGGAGGGTCTGTCCATCTGTCTGGCTGTTCCAGTCCCAGACATGCGCCCACCTCTCCCAACCCCAAGGTGCTGGAGGGTGCTCAGGATACCAGATGGCAGTGCCTGCATCTCCCGACCCTGGCAGGGGACCCAGGCACCGACGTGTGTTACCTGTAGGGAGGACACCTTCGTAGGTGGCTCCAGCTCCCCTGGCAGCCGAGTTTCAGGGACTGGGAGAAGAGCTGTGAGGGAAGAAGGCTGACTCAACAGGCACCCCGGCCAGCAGCTGCCCCACACTGAGGAGGAGGAAACACCTCAGCAGGGCCTGATGCAAAACCGGGCCTGGACTCCCAGCGCCCCGGGGTGCACCCCTGCTGACTAGAGGCCGGGCTTGGCCCCAGCCACTCTGCAGAATGTGTAGCAGCCCCACCCTGCCCACAATGGAGCTGATAGGAACTCGCTTTGAAAGCAAGTTAGAAACCTTTCTTTTTCAGCACCAAGGGGAAGGAAGGATTGCAGCCTTTGCTGTCAGACCACCCTGCGCAGGGTCCCTGCTCTGCCACTAGGTATGTGACCTTAAGCAGGTCTCTTCCATTTCTTCCGATGCAAACTGTGGGGAGCAGAGTGTAAGGGGCCTATTCTAAGGGAAGTGAAAGTGCCTGGTGCAGGATGGCATAGTCAGTGCCAGGTGTCCCCACTCCAGCAGAGTCCAATGCCCATGGCCATTTCAGCAACCACTGCCCTCCATGTCCACATGTACCTCTGGGACGTGCTGGCCACAGCAGAGCAGCACTGTCGCCTCTACCATCCTGGGCCCCATCTGTTTGAGGCCTGAACTCTTCCAGTGCCAAGGTGAGGGTCTCACACCCTCTCTCTATGGGGAGTCCCCCGAACACCCCATTCTACACCTAGATTTTGTCCACACTGAGATGAGAAGGTTTGGGCCCTAGATTCCATTGGCTTCAGGAGCATGAACCTCCTGGGTTATCTTGGGCACAAGAGGCCACACCAAAGCTTTCTGACTATCTCCAAGTCAACTTCATTTCCCATGGCCTATCCTGCCCCAACCCCCTCCCGTGAACCTAGTGCCATGGATTAAAGATTAGACGGCTCCTCATAGACTCCTGGGAGAGGTGGGGCAAAGGGTGGATTCTAAGCAAAACCAGTCTGGGCATGGTGGCTCATGCCTGTAATGCCAGCACTTTGGGAGGTTGAGGTGGGCGGATCACTTGAGAATAGGAGTTTGAGACCAGCCTGGACATGGTGGAAACCCCGTCTCCACTCAAAATACAAAAATTAAGTCCGGGCGCAGTGGCTCACGCCTGTAATCCCAGCACTTTGGGAGGCCGAGGCGGGTGGATCACGAGGTCAAGAGATCGAGACCATTCTGGTTAACATGGTGAAACCCCGTCTCTACTAAAAATACAAAAATTAGCTGGGCATGGTGGCGCACACCTGTAGTCCCAGCTACTCGGGAGGCTGAGAAAGGAGAATTGCTTGAACCCAGGAGGCGGAGGTTGCGGTGAGCCGAGATCGCGCCATTGCACTCCAGCCTGGGTAACAAGAGTGAAACTCCATCTCAAAAAAATAAATAAATAAATAAAATAAATTTTAAAAAATACAAAAATTAGGTGGGCATGGTGGTGGGTGCCTGTAGTCCCAGCTACTTGGGAGGCTGAGGCAGGAGAATTACTTGAACCCTGGAGATGGAAGTTGCAGTGAGCAGAGATCTCACCACTGCACTCCAGCTTGGGCAACAGAGCAAGATTCTGTCTCAGAAAAAAACAAACAAAAAAACTCAACTCTTCCTTCCCCTCATCAGAACTGGCTCCCACCACCATTGAGAGACAGAGGGCCTCTCCTCCACCCCAGCCCATGGTGGAGGCTTCCCTACTTGTTTTTTCCAAGTTAATCTTATTTTTCTTTTTCTGTTTTTTTTTGTTTTGTTTTGTTTTTTTTTTTTTTTTTTTAAGATGGAGTCTTGCTCCATCACCCAGGCTGGAGTTTAATGGCGCAATCTCAGCTCACTGCAACCTCCACCTCCCAGGTTCACACGATTCTCCTGCCTCAGCCTCCTGAGTAGCTGGGATTACAGGTGCACACCACCACACCTGGCTAATTTTTTGTATTTTTAGTAGAGACAGGGTTTCACTATGTTGGCTAGACTGGTCTTGAACTCCTGACCTCGTGATCTGCCCGCCTGGGCCTCCCAAATTGCTGGGATTACATGCATCAGCCACCATGCCTGGCCAATCTTATTTTTCTCATCTGTTAAATGGGGGTACTAATTCCTCCTCAGAGGGTTTTCACTAAAATTCAGTGAGATCCCTGCAGACATTTTTTTTTTTTTGAGAGGGAGTTTCGCTGTTACCCAGGCTGGAGTGCAATGGCGCGATCTCGGCTAACCGCAACCTCCGCCTCCTGGGTTCAGGCAATTCTCCTGCCTTAGCCTCCCGAGTAGCTCAGATTACAGGCAGGCGCCACCATGCCCAGCTAATTTTTTTGTATTTTTAGTGGAGACGGGGTTTCACCATGTTGACCAGGATGGTCTTGATCTCTCGACCTCGTAATCCACCTCGGCCTCCCAAAGTGCTGAGATAATAGGCATGAGCCATGGCGCTCGGCCTTTTTTTTTTTTTTTTTTTTTTTTAAATTAAGTCTTGCTCTGTTGCCCAGGCTAGACAGAGTACATTGGCATGATCTTGGCTCACTGCACCCTCTGCTTCCCAGGTTCAAGTGATTCTCCCGCCTCAGCCTCCCGAGTAGCTGAGACTAACTAGTGCCCGGCTAATTTTTGTATTTTGAGTAGAGACGGAGTTTCACCATGTTGGCCAGGCTGGTCTCAAACTCCTGGCCTCAGGTGATCTTCCTGCCTCAGCCTACCAAAGTGTTGGGATTACAGGCGTAAGCCACCTTGCCTGGCCTCCCACAGACTCTTAATTAATGCATTTATGCACCCACACATGCAGTACTCATTAAGCAGCCACTGTGGGACCGTCACTGTGATGCTGCCACCTTCATTAAGGTCCTCAAAATGGAGAGTGGCCAACAGCATCCTCACCCCTTCCTGCCATCCTGGTCGTGGCACCCCTCCCAAGGTTGTTTCTCTGCCCCCCTCCCACCTCAGCAGCCCTTCCTCCTGGAAGACACGGAACAACTTTGTCTGCTCTTCGGGTTTCTAAATTTCCCTTCCTTTCTCTGCCTCCTGTCCTTCCTATAGCTGACTCCCTGAAGCTGGTATTTCCAGACATCTCTCCTGCTATGTCTCAACCTGCATTCATTTGGCCTCTTACCCACCTGAAACCTATTTCCAAGTTTCCTCCTCTGTAACCAGCCCCCATCGTCCTGGCCTCTGGCCTCCTGCTGCTTCCTGCCGCCTCCAGGTGCTGTCCACACTTCGCTCAAGCCGCCCTCCCACCTGTCCGTCTCTGCCGTCCTCCCCTGCCCAGGTCTCAGTCCCTGCTCAAAGCTTCCTCTTCTCCCACCTCCTTGTGGCCACACCCAGCCCCTCTGGCCCTTTGTTGCACAGCTTTTGAATATACTTTTGTCATCCTCTGGTTTGGAAGCTGCCAGCAGACAGCCAGGCCATCCCTTGGGCCCATTCACACAATTCCAAACCAGTCCAGCTTCCTTTAGACACATCTTGAGATGGAGCCTCACCACTTCCCAGGACAGCCTGGCACTCAGCTGTGCCAGCTCACCCCAGACCCTGCACTACTGTGGTCTCCAAGCCTGGGACTTCTTGGGATTGCTACCCTAACTCTGGCTCTCTCCCTTCGTCATATATACCCGCAGAGCCTTAGCTATGGACTATTTCCTGTCCCCTCAACACCCCTGGGCTTTCTGTGCCCCCTGTGGGAATGCTTTTCCCCAGCTCCAGGACTAGCTCAGCCTCTTCCAGAGTTCAGTGCTCCTGCGCTGCAGCCAGTCTCTAGGCAACGTCCTTCTGTTAAGAGGCAGGGTCCTAGAGGCCAGCAGATCTGGGTTGAAATCTGCCACACAGTTCCCTTGTGGCCTGGGATCAATGACAATCCCTCACTCTCTTCCTTTATGAAGGGGGTGGGGGACAATAGCCATCTCAGGGGCCTGCTGCTGGAAGGAGAGCTTCTATTCTACTTTCGCATCACAGCACCTCTCATTTCCACTCCTGCGCTCCAGTGAGAACATTGTACAAGGTGGCTCAGAAGGGGGCTCTGGAGTCCGGCTGCCGGGTTTCAACCAGTTCCACTGTTCCTTCCTCTGTGACCTGGAGCAAATCACTTTACTTCTCTGCTTACTTCTTCATCTGTAAAACGGGATGATGGCACCTACCTTGTTGTAGGGCTGTTGTGAGGCTAAGATGATTTTTATTACAAGGCCTAGCACAGAGTAAGCCCTTGCTAACTGTTGGTGACTTTTTTTTTTTTTAAAGAGATGGGGCCTTGCTCTGTCACCCTTGATCTCCTGGGCTCAAGCAATCCTCCCTCTTCAGCCTCCTGAGTAGCTGGGGCTGCAGGTAACCACCATCACACCCAGCTAATTTTATTTTTTGTAGAGATGGGGTCTCACTTTGTTGCCCAGACTGGTCTTTTTTTTTTTTTTTTTTTTAAAGATGGGGTTTCACCATGATGGCCAAGCTGGTCTTGAACTCCTGACCTCAGGTGATCCACCCACCTCGGCCTCCCAAAGTGCTAGGATTACAGGCGTGAGCCACAGCACCTGGCCCAGACTGGTCTTAAAATTCTTGGGCTCCCTCTGTCCTCCAGCCTTGGCCTCCCAAAGGGCTGGGATTACAGGTGTTTTACACTGTGGCTGACCCTGTTGGTGACTTCTATGGTACAATTTTATGTCCTGTTTCCCTAAGGCAAATTTTAAATTCTGCTAGGCTAACACAGGCCTTAAACCATTTTCTATCTATTCTGCTTTGGCTATCTTTAGTACTGAATTTGTCCCCCTTAACCAACTCTCGGATGGACGCATTATGCAAAACACATTTTTGAAAATGGAATTGCTGGGGCAATTCCACAGGGTGTAGTGGCTCATGCCTGTGATCCCAGCACTTTGGGAGGCTGAGGTGGGTGGACCACCTGGAGTTCAAGATCAGCCTGGCCAAAACATGGTAAAACCCCATCTCTCCTAAAAATACAAAAATTAGCCAGGCATGGTGGCAGGCACCTGTAATCCCAGCTACTCGGGACACTGAGGCATGAGAATCACTTGAATTTGGGAGGTGGACATTGCAATGAATCAAGGTCGTACCACTGTACTTCAGCCTGGGTGACAGAGCGAAACTGTCTCAAAAAGAAAAAAGAAAAGAAAATGGAATTGCTCCGAAGTGGGGAGGGGGCACCTTTGCCTTGCCCTGGATAAATCCCAGGCTTGGAGACCACAGCACTGCAGGGTCTGGGGTGAGCTGGCAGAGCATGTCCTCAGGGCCAGCTGCTAGAGCATGTCCTCAGGGCCACCTTCAGGACAGAGACCAAATCCTTGGCTAATTCAACTGAAGTGATGAATGGGCAGGGTTGGGAAAGGGTTCAGGGAGGAAGCGGCTTTTAAGCTGGGCCTTGGTTAGGGAAGGCCGCCATGAGGGGTACGGTGAAGAACAAAGGATCGGAGGCAGGAGAGGGTTGGATGGATACTGGGCCCAGAGGCTGGCCGTGCTCTTGGCTCATCCCTAACTCTGTACTCCTAGGGGCAGTGGGGACGGCAGTGGAGGCCCTACTCAGCCCTAACCCCAATCCTACAAGTCCTTTCCAACAAGGACGATGGAAGGGTTTCAATGCTCACCTGCCTCAAGGGGAAAGCTTTGGAATAGGGGATGTAGAATGGCAGGGAATTCCCGACTGAGCAGGGGTGGGATATACCTGAGGGATGCTGATGGCTCCAAGCACTGGACGCAGACTCAACCATGGCGCAGGCAACCAGACCCTTGTCAAGGGGCAGAGGGTCCCAAGAATACCAAGACACTATGAACTGAGAGGTAAGGAAGGCCCAGAGAGGGAGAAAACAATGGTAGGGCAGCAACTGGAGCCAAAACTCTTTATTGTCCTGCCCAGGGAGCCCTTCCCAAAGGAATCCAAGGAGCAGGGGTGCGAGGCAGATGGCACAGGGCCTTGGTGACGAGAAAAAAGAGGGAGCTGGAGACAGGTGGGGGACAGCCCCTCCAGCTCCCTGATGGCACTGGCTGTGCTGGCAGGCCACCCAGTG